TTTTCAAGTACTTTAGGATTGCTTTAACTGTTGTCCAGTGGTTCAGACCTAGATTGAATTGAAATCTATCAGTTAGACTAACAACATATGCATTATTAGACCTAGTACATAACATGGCGTACATTAGGCTTCATATCACTAAAGCATATGGAACCTTAAACATTTTCTCTTTTTCTTCAAGCGTTTCAATAGAAATCTCTTTAGAGAGATTGATACAATGTCTTATAGGCAATAATCCTTTTTTGAAATCTAACATATTGAACTTCTTCAACATCTTTTCGAAATAATGACTTTAGGAAGAACCTATCATTCTCTTCAATCTAGATTTGAATACCTAGAGTACAATATGCATCTTCTAAGTCTTTCATGGAGAAAGTTTTAAACAACCATAAATTATATCCATTACCATTCTAGTGTCATTGCTTATTAATAATATGTCATCCACATACAAAACTAGGAAATTGAGTGCACTCCCATTAATCTTTTTGTACAAGCAGGCTCATCTCATTTTTAATAAAATCATTCCTCCTTCCAACTTCATCAAAATGATGATTTCAACTCCTCAAGGCTTGCTTAAGACCACACACACACACACACACTCGTTAAGCTTATAAACTTTGGACCTAACTTTGGATTCAAAACCTTTAGGTTATTCCATGAATATGTTTTCCTCAATAATCATTAAGGAAAGAAATTTCGACGTCCATCTGCCAAATCTTATAATTGTAGCATTCAGCTAAATCTAACTATCCTAATGGATTTAAGCATAGCTACAAGCAACAAAGGTTTTCTCATAATCAATCCCTTGCCTTTAGCTTTTAGCTACAAGTTTAGCTTTATAAGTCTCTACCTTTCCATTTGCTCTAAGCTTTTTTTTTTTTTTTTTTTTTCATCTTCCAAATCCTTATAATGTAGCATTCAGTAAATTAACTATCCAAGGATTAAAAGCATAGCTACAAGCAACAAAGGTTTTCTTCAAACAAATCCCTTGCCTTTAGCTTTTAGCTACAAGTTTAGCTAAAGCCACCCCATATTGCTCTAAGGCTTTTTTTTTTTTTTTTTTTTTTTTCACAAAATCCATTTATTCCCATAGGTACTAATAACCTTGAGGTTTGATAAACAAAGTTCCCAAATCCTGGTTTGCATAAATGGATTATTCAGATAAGTTTTTTTTTTTTTTTTTTTTTTTCACAAATCCATTTATTCCCTATAGGTACTATACCTTGAGGTTGATAAACAAGTTCCCAAATCCTGGTTTGCATAAATGGAATTCATTTCAGATTTTATAGCTTCTAGCCATTTTCAAGAATCTATACTTGATATAGCTCCATCATATATTGCAATATCATCTCTATGATTGATTTTTTCACTTATGAACAATTATTGTTCTTCAAGAATAAATCCATATTTCTTTGGTGGATAAGATATTCTACTAGACCTTCAAGGAGCAGATGTGGAGACATCATTAATCGGTTTAAGCTCTTTACAGGTTTGATCAATTTCTAATTGATCATTTTGTTTGACATCATCAAATGCCACCTCATCTAACTCTGTCTTCCTACCTTTTGTACTTGCTTGATTAAACTATTTTTCAAGAAATATGGCATCCTTACTGATAATAATCTCTTGTTGTTTCCAAAGATAAATGTAATACCGTGATTTCACTTTCAATTTATCAAGTTTTAGCTTCTTGGTAAAAATTGGACATCGCCAAATCTTAATATGTTTAAGACTTGGTATCTTACCAATCCATATATCATAAAGAGTAGTACAGACAAATTTGGAAGGAATCAATGATGGATGGAGGGGGGCAGGGGACCATCGCCCCTTGCTTCTATAAAAATTTTGAGTTCATTAAACTTTAGAAATCCCTTTGTAGCTTAGTTGCATTGGTTGGTAATAAACTAATTAAACGGCCTAGGTTTGAACCTATCCATTATTATATTTTTAAATGATTAATAATTAAAGCCCACAATTACTAAACCCACTTTAAGTCCAACTACAATAAGGTTTATAACCTAATTTATCAATATATAGAAAAATCTAAAACACTACAAAGAAACTAAAACTCTACAAAGGATTATTGTCAGAGAATTCAATTTCAGATAACCAGTGACAGAGCTAGGATTTTTTCTTAGGGGGCTAAAATATATTTTGGTCATTTTATATGAAGAAATTATTTATGTATATAGTTCATCATATAGAATCATCGAATTGCAATCATATCATATAAATATAAAGGCGTTAATTATAAAATTATCAATTAATTGATGCGGAGCAACTGGCACTTAAATATATTGAAGAGTTGGATCGCTGCAAACCCAAGAAGAAGGGGCATGGCCATGCCATTTCTAGCACGCCTGTGCCAACCTCTGGAAGTCCAGGACGCTAGACATGCCCAAGCCTAAGAAGCACAAGCACGCTTGCGTCACAGCCAGCCTACTCGAGCTAGCCTCTGGAAGTCCAAACACACCCTTGGCATGTCAAGCATGCCCGTGCCGATGAGTCCAGTTACGTTTCAAGTGCTAGCACGCCCGTGCTAGCCTCTGGAAGTCCATGCATGCCCGTGTCATGCCAAGCACGACCGTGCCACCGACCTTATTAAGGTTTTGTCCAGTTATGACTTTTGTGTTATTTTTAGGGTTTTATGCGATTAGCCTAAACCTATAAATAGATTATTTATATTAAGAGTACATTCATTATCTTTTGTTCATTATTCATATCAATAAACTTCTTTAAGAGTTTAGTTCTTTATTTTATTCATCAGATCAAATGTCATTGATCGAAACTCCTGATGGAGTATAATCGTTTATTTCCATTCACGTAACCATTTTGTGTCAGTTGGTATCAGAGCCGAAAGGCAAAGTATCTCCATGGCCGACAATCATGAGACACGACTCACAGCCATCGAGGGGAGGTTCGAAGAGTTAACCGAACAGATTAGGCAGTTGACTCTCGCAATCCAACAAAGCAACCCACAACCTGCAACTGCAACAGCAGCTCCAAATCCACTGTAACCGGATTATGCAAGATGACAAAATCTTTATGATGGATGCCGAGATTATAGAGGGAATGGTGACAATTTTCATGACGGATACAAGATAAAGGTACATCTTCAACCTTTCTCAGGATCGTTAGATATAGAAAGCACTCTTGACTGGCTAGCGAGATTCAACGATTCTTTGAGATCATGAATGTCGAGGATGAACGTAAAGTTTCCATTATGGCCTATAAACTGAAAAGCGGTGCAGCAGCATGGTGGCATTCTATTTAAAATGAACGCCATTGTCGAAGGATTGAACCTGTGCGAGATTGGATCTTAATGAAACAGATGATTGAGCAGCATTTTCTCCCTAGTGATCACTCCCAAATCCTGTATAATTGGTACCATGATGTTTCCAGGGAAATCAAAAGGTACATGAGTATACGAAAGAATTCTTGAGATTGCAGGCTCGATGTGACAATTGTGAGACCGAATCCCAGTAATGTGGCTCATTATCAGAGGGGATTGAATCATAACATAATGTGTGTGATGGGTGTAGCTGTAATTTTCACTTTGGCAGACGCAATTGAGATGGCCAAATGAGTAGAAGATAGAATTAATTAGTAACCTCGACAACTATCTAATCATACAAAATTTCAGGCAACCCTATTCATCTAAAAATCAACAGTTTAGTCAAAATTCCGGTGGATAGAATTCAAGGGCAGTAACTCCTGCTACTAACCAGAACTTACAGCAGATCCCAAGAGAAGAAAATAAAGACTCTCGAGGAAAGACTCACATGGCAGACAGAAATAATAAACTGAATCCATATCAAAAGCCAACTGGAGACTATTGTTATCGATGCAGGAAATAAGGGCATACATCTAATATATGTCCAGAACGTAGGGGGCTAATGATGGGCGTCGATAGGTGAATGTAGTTGATGAGATGACTGAGGTTGAAGAGGTAGAAGACGAAGATGATGGATCTATAGCTAGTTCTAAAGAGGGAGAAGTTACATATGTTGTTCGAAAAATTTTGTGTTCTCCAAAACAAGAAAGTGACACTTAATTCGAAGATAAATTTTTCAAGCTGAATGTCGGGTTGGTGAAGCGGTGTGTCGACTCATTATCGACAGTTGCAGTTGTGAAAATATGATAGCCAAGCAGCTGGTTGAAAATCTAAATTTACCTATAGAACCACATCCTTCGCTGTACAAGGTAGGGTGGATTAAAGAGAGTCCAACGATTGAAGTAAACCGGATTTGCAAGGTTCCTATCAATGGGAAAGTCGTACTCAGACTCCGTTAGCAGTGATGTTATGGATATGGATGCTTGTGGAGTACTATTAGGACGTCCATGGTAGTTTGATGTAGATGCATTGCATAAGGGAAGAGAGAATTCATAACTGTTCACTTGGAAAAATAAGAAAATCATTGTCTTACCTTCTAGATCTTTTGTCAAAGGTTCTAAAGTGGAGGGGAAATCCAGAATAGCTATTTCTTCCAATGTGCAGGAATTATCTGGTGTAATTGAGAAGTCCGGAGGTGCATTGGCATTGCTGATCAAACTAGAGACAGGTTCTAATGAAGGGACACTGGTACCCCCACCAGTTAAGCAATTGCTAGATGAGCTTCATGCCATAGTTGAAGAACCATCTACACTTCCACCTTTGCAGGACATTCAACATCAGATTGATTTTATCCCTAGATCGAAGATGCCAAACCTGCCCCATTATAAAATGAATCCAAAGGAGAGCTAGATCCTTCAAGAACAGGTAGAAGAATTATTGAAGAAGGGACATATCCGGGAGAGCATTAGATCGGAAGATTGCCAAACCTGCCCTTATAAAATGAAATAACCAAAGGAGAGCTCCCCATTATAAAATGAATCCAAAGGAGAGCTAGATCCTTCAAGAACAGGTAGAAGAATTATTGAAGAAGGGACATATCCGGGAGAGCATTAGTCCTTGTGGGGTTCTTGCTTTATTAGTGCCAAAGAAGGATGGGACTTGGAGAATGTGTGTGGATAGTAGAGCTATCAATAAGATCATAGTGCAATATCGATTTCCTATTCCTCGTCTGGAGGACATATTGGACCAGTTGTCAAGGTCTACAATATTCTCCAAAATAGATCTCCGTAGCGGGTATCATCAAATCAGGATCAAGGAGAGAGATGAATGGAAAACCGCATTTAAGACTAAGAAGGGGTTAAACGAGTGGTTAGTTATGCTGTTTGGGTTGATTAATGCACCGAGCACATTCATGCTACTTATGATTCAGGTTTTGCGCCTTTTCTTGCGTAAATTTGTGATTGTTTATTTTGATGACATCTTAATTTTCAGTCGCAGTGAGGAAGAACACTTTCAACACCTTTGACAAGTGTTGGATGCTTTACAGAAAAATGAGTTGTACATCAACCTAAAGAAGTGCAGTTTTATGATTGAGCGGATTCTATTTCTTGGCTATATTGTTAGCTTAAGTGCACTTTCTCTCATTAGAGCGATTCTATTTTCTTAGGCTATGATTTATATAGCCTCGGAAGGTATAATTTACACTCTGTTAGCTCGGAAGGAATTCATGTTGATGACAGAAAGATTGAGGCCATTCGAAATTGGCCTATTCCCAAGAACATCACTGAAGTTCGTAGCTTTCATGGTCTCGCTACTTTCTATCGGCGGTTCATTAGGAACTTTAGCAGCATCGTCGCTCCCATCACCAATTGTTTGAAGAAGGAGAGAGTTCATCAATTTGTGTGGACAAAAGCTGCAAACAAAAGCTTTGAAGAGATCAAAGATAAGCTTACTTCCGCCCCTATTCTTGATTTACTTGATTTTGATAAATGGTTTAAGGTTGATTGTGATGCTTGTGGGATTGTGGATGTGCTGTCGATGCTTGTGGGATTGGAATTGGTGGTGTGCTGTCACAATCCGGAAAGCCTATAGCATTCTTTAGTGAAAAATTGAATGAAACTAGGCAGAAATGGTCTACCTATGAGCAAGAGTTGTATGCAGTTCTTCAAGCTTTCAAGACTTGGGAACATTATTTGTTGGGGCATGAATTCATTATTTACACTGATCATCAGTCTTTAACTCATTTTCAAACTCAGAAGAAAGTGAGCATGATGCATGCGCGTTGGGCAACTTATTTTGGTGCTTTCCATTATGTCATTAAGCACAAATCAGGTACTTGTAACACAATAGCGGATGCTTTGAGCATGAGAGCAGCCTTATTGATTACAATTAGATAAGAGATTGTAGGGTTCGAATTTCTTGAAGATCTTTATACCTCGGATGAAGATTTTGCTGACATATGGGCAAATATTGATGTTAAACAGCCTACCGACGGTTTCTTGGTTCATGACGAGTATTTATTCAAGGAAAACAGGCTGTGCATCCCTCAGTCTTCCCTTTGGGAAAGTTAATCTGAGAAATCCATGGTGGAGGATTGAGTGGACACTAGGGGCGAGACAAGACTATTGCTGGGTTAGAGGCTCGATTTTATTGGCCACAATTGAAGAAGGAAGCATGGAAGCTAGTACAGAAATGCTCAGTTTGCCAGACACAGAAGGGCCATTCCTAAAATATCGGTCTATACACTCCATTGGTTGTACCGGAACAACCCTGGGAGGACTTATCCATGGATTTTGTGTTAGGTTTACCACAAATTCAATGCGGACCTGACTCTGTTATTGTTGTTGTAGACAGGTTCTCCAAGATGGCACACTTTATACCTTGCAAACAAACTAATGATGCCTCGCATATAGCAAAGTTATTTTTCCAGGAGATTGTTCAGTTACATGGCATTCCCAAAACCATCACATATGATCGAGACACAAAGTAACTTTGCGAAAGAGGTTTAACACTCAACTCTGCTATAGCACTACCGCACACCTCCAAACTGATGGACAAACTGAAGTAGTGAAACGGACCCTTGGTAATCTCCTTAAGTGCATTTGCAGCGAGAAGAAGAAGATATGGGACCTTGCTCTTGCCCAAGCAGAATTTGCTTACAATAGTTCGATCCATAGCGCCACCAAGATGTCCCCTTTTGTAATTGTCTACCGGAAGGTACCAGTCCATACTCTTAATCTCCTTTCCCTTCCAATAGGTGTAGAGAAGAGTATTGCAGCTAATAACTTGGCTACCGAGCATATGGAGGTATTCAAGTAAGTGCAGCAATTCATCACTGCTGTCAAGTAAGTGCAGCAATTCATCACTGCTGTCAATGAAAAACATAAAGCTACAGCTGATAAACACCGGCTTTATAAATCTTTTACCGTGGGTGATTGGGTCATGGTCTATCTTTGCAAAGAGCGCGGCGGAGGACAGAAGAAGCTTGATTCTAAAAAGATTGGGCCATTTGAGGTACTTAAGAAGATTAATGCTAATGTCTATGTGCTTGACCTGCCCGAAGACATGAAGATTTCTAGGACTTTCAATGTTGCTGATTTATTCCCTTTCTATCCCGATGATGATCACTCGAGGTCAAGTTCTTTTGAAGTGGAGGGGATTGATGCGGAGCAACTGTCACTTAAATATATGGAAGACTTGGATCGCTGCAAACCCAAGAAGAAGGGGCACGACTGTGGCATTTCCAGCACGCCTGTGCCAACCTCTGGAAGTCCAGGACGTGAGACACGCCCAAGCCTAAGAAGCACAAGCATGCCCGTGTCACAGCCAGCTTGCCCATGCTAGCCTCTGGAAGTCCAAACACGCCCATGCTATGTCAAGCACACCCGTGCCGATGAGTCTAGTTACGTTTTGAGTGTCGGCACACCCTTGTCATGCCAAGCACGCCCATGCCACTGACCTTGCTAGGGTTTTGTCGAGTTACGACTTTTGTGTTATTTTTTAGGGTTTTATGCAATTAGCCTAAACCTATAAATAGGTTATTTGATTAAGAGCACATTCATTATATTTTGAATTAGCCTAAACCTATAAATAGGTTATTTGATTAAGAGCACATTCATTATATTTTGATCATTATTCCAATCAATAAACTTCTTTGAGAGTTTAGTTCTCTATTTTATTCGTCAGATCAAACGTCATTGATCGAAACTCCTGACGGAGTATAATCGTTTATTTCCATTCACGTAACCATTCTGCGTCATTAATAATCTCAAGTTTCAGGCAGATATAAAATAAAAGTAAGATAAGAAACAAACCTGATTAAAAGTGAATATTTTAAGTTACCTTATGAGCGTCATGTATCCTTTCTTAATATAATACTTGTAAAAATATTATTGTAACATAAGTAAAGGAAAGTAATATAAAAAAATTTATAAAAATATTATTGTAAAAATTATTCAAATTCTTACCTGACTTAAAACATTATCTTTTGTTGTTATACACGAGTTTTGCTTGATATTCTTTCATAGTTCTAAGCTCATCTATGATTGAATCAATATTAAACTTTATTGCATTTTTTCTCTGATGTAAACAATCAAGCAATCATATCATATATATGTTGTGTATGATAATGTGTGATATTATGACTGCTTTATGTGTATTTCCTTACTATAAATGGAAAATAAGCACTACTAAGTTTTCTACTTAGTGCTTTGATTTGTCATGCACAGGTTGTTGATTTGGGGTAGACGATCCACAGCGAGCATCAGACTATTCAAAGGCCCCTATTCTGTTATAGTCAGTGTTCAACTAGTTTCTCTTTTATTTCAGTCTTTGGGAAAATCTAGCGGCATGTAAATATAATTAAGCACTAGAATGTTTTTATTTAAGTCAGAATGTTATGAACTAAATATTTGAAACAACAGTTTTATTTTCAGAGTCAGAATACTTTATGGCATGTAATGAATATCTTAAATGTTTTCAATTAAAAAGAACTGATTTACTCTCTGTGTTGAGTTTTTTTTTATGAGAACTGTTGGATGATGAGTTGAGAATGTGGAGTTGTGTTGTGAAAAAAATTTTAAAAATGATACTAAGTTGTGGATAAATTATAGAAGTGTTTTAAATATTTTTCTATATTTTGTGATACTGATATATAGGAGAAACTCTTGCAGTTTTTCTATAGGATTTCTTCGGAAATTTTTCTAAGTCATTTTTGACAAACTAAAAGAAATGTTTTCTTTAAATTGTTAAATATTAAGCATGTTGGTTTAATACTTCAGTGCTAAACCTGATGTGGCTCTTAAGGTCCTATTTTATGAAACTGAAGTTTGGGTGTCACAACTTTTCTCCTATCTGTGACCAACCCCCAAATAAAATTATGGCATAATTTTTCCACCTCTTTACAAAAAAAAAAAAAAAATGGGAGTTTGGTAGTCTACATCGCATAATTAGGAATGGTAGACACAACGACATTGGCTAAAGTAACCCTACCAGCCATAAAAAGATGATCAACCCTCCATGAAGCAAGCTTGGACTTCGCCTTCTCAATAATCTAGGCATACGATCTTTTCATAACTCTTTCATGAAGAAGGGAAACCCCCAAGCACCTTCCTAAATTACTTGTCTCCTTGAAATTCAACATGGACCCCAGTATCAACCGAGACGCCCTATCAACATTCTTCGAAAAATAAATAAGTGTCTTATCATGATTAATTTTTTGCCTCGAGGAAACACAAAAATCATGCAAAACGTCTCTGATCACCTGAGCTTGCTCCAACGAAGCCTCTGCTAAAAGAACTAAATCATTAGCCAAAAACAAATGGGAAAGCTTAGTACCCCCGCGACAAAGAGAAATAAGACACCACCGCAAATCTGAAACTACGGTATTAGTACTCTAGGACAAGCGCTCTATACAAAGCTCAAATAAGTACGGGCTAAGGGGATCTCCTTAGTGTAATCCATGAGAAGGTAAAAAAGAATCCGAAAAAGAACCATTCCATAGAACCTTCATAGGGAACGTATTAACACAATTCATAACAACCTTGATAAAAAAGCTAGGTAAACCCAAATCAACCAAGTTATCTTTTAGAAAATCCTACCTCACTCTATCATACGCCTTAGATCCACTTTAATAGCCATGAAACCCACTCTACTAGTTTTGCTCCTCATCTTGTGAATCAATTTTTGCGCAATAATAATATTGTCCGTAATCTGACATCCAGGCACATAACTAGTCTGGCATGAGCTTACAACCAACGGTAAAATCTCCTTCAAACGATTAGCAAGAACTTTAGTGATAAATTTAGAGTTTTAATTCAAGTTGATAAGTTTTAACTAAATAACCAATAATAAATAATTGAATAATAAATTTACAATACTATTATATATTTTAATATTTATGAAATTTATGAAATTTTTGTGGATTTTTTAATTTTTAATTTTTATGTTTATTAAATCAAATATAAAATTAAAATTAAAATCAAACCAAAAACTAAAAATTTAAAAACCTCCTAAAATTAAATTCAAAATCTGAAATTAAAAAATTAATTGTAAAAGTATGATAAAATTAAATAGTTAATTAGTTTAGGAATTTTGGTTATTTGTTGTTTGAGCTATAATAAATGAGTTTAAAATGGTAAATTAACTCTATTTGCCACGTTGGACTGCTTACATGGATTATTTGTCAAGCCATGTAAGTGGATACGTATGCAAAAGTGGGCCCCACCTCGTCCTATTGTACTATTTCACCAATCGAATCACACGTATCTAACATATTCATACCTTATGATTTTCCACAAAGTGGTAATGAAAGGTATAACTTGTATAAATCTTTCATTCTATGAGTCTCTTCCTTTTTGCATATGGCATCACCAACCCAGCTCATGTACCGCTTTAATGGGCGAACAGCGGGTCGAGTGAATTCAATAATAGACGTCACAATCATGCTATCCAATTCATCAGGAGATATCAAATTGAAAAAAATTGCAAGTCCAGACTCTCAATTGATACTATTTTTCGTTCAGACACCAAATAGAAAAAAGAATGCAAACTCAGACACCAAAAGTAACATTATCCCTTTAATTCATTTTATAAATAGGCTTTAATTTGGAAGACACTCTAATTTATTAGTACTTTGGTATCATTATTACTATTTCTGTTCCACAATACTTGTTATAGTTAGAATTTCACGTCCCTTATGACAACCATCAAATTTGTCTAAATTACAATAAATTATTGAGTAAATTGTCTATATTACCTTAATTTAATACTACCTTTGTTTCGTAATACTTGTTACATTTGGAATTTCACGTCTCTTAATAAAACCATTAAATTTGTCTAAGTTATAATAAATTATTGAGTAAATTGACTATATTACCCTTAATTTAATACTAATTCTCTAAAAAACCATTAAATTGAAGTGAGTAAAATTGACTATTATTACCCTTACATTTAATTCTAATTCCTCTAAAAAACCATTAAATTGAAGAAATTAATATTGGCCCTTAATTTAATACTAATTCTCTAAAAAACCATTAAATTGAAGTAATAATTATTGGTTATATATAAAGGATAAATATGAAAAAAAAATATTTATTGCTCCTTAAACCCACAAATATAACAAGTATTTTAGAATAAACTGTTGTCTCAAATGTGACAAGTATTATGAAACTGAGATAGTACCACTAATTCTCTAAGAAAATCATTAAATTGAAAGTAATAATTATTGGTCATAAACAAAGAGTAAACATTAAAAAAATATATTACTCTTTGAAACCACAAATGTGACAAGTATTTTGGAAACAAACTATTTTATCAAATGTGACAAGTATTAAAGCTGTGCAAGTCCAATTCCAGTACGGTTCTTAAGAAGAACCAGAACCGAATCAAAAATTCTTTTCTTTTATTTTTAGGAACTGAAATTGGAACCGAAGGACTAAAGAACCAAAACCGAAACTAAAGGACTAAAGAACCGAAACCGAATTGAACCAAATTTTCGATTCGATTTCAGTATGGTTCTTCGATTTTTTTGGTTTCAATTCTTTGGTTCTGATTCTGGTTGCAGTTTTAGTTCCCCCATTGAAAATTATTATATTTTAAAAACACATTACAAAGTTTCTTTATATAAAAATATTCTAGTATCAAAATAAAATTATAATTTAACTTATATTTAAGAAACACTTTTTATTTAAATTATAAGCATAATAAAATACTACATAAACATTTATGAATTATCATATAATTAAAATATTATATGCTATAAGGGAGGACGGAAATCATTAGATATTAATTTTTTTATGTGGGATAAATAATTTTAATTTATACTCCATTTGTATTATTAATTAAAGAGTATCAACTAATAAAGATTTTGTTTTCAAATAATAAAATTTAATGTCTGTTACAAATAACATAATATATTGAAACATTAAGGAAAAAATATATGGACAAATTGGTTTTTCAGTTCGATTCGGTTCAATTCGCTTTTAGTACGGTTTCATTGCGGTTCTTTATAAGAACTAGAACCAGAACCATAACCAGAACCAAAATAATAAATTGCATTAAGTTCGGTATGGTTCGGCTCCTACTATCTCAGTTTTTTTTTTTTTAATTTCAGTTCGGTTCAATATGATTTCTCGATTTAATTCGGATTCTCCATGTACCATGCGCAGCCCTAACAAACATTATGGAAATGAGATAATACTTTTTGTTTTTGATAAGCATTGTAGAAGGGAGATAATACTTTTTATTTTTGATTTTTGTTATTTAGTTGCTATTCAAAATTGCATATTCCATGAGACCATAATGCATATCTAACCGGGTATGGCGCTCCAGTTCCCAATCAATCCCACGTATCAAATTGGCGGGAAATTGAAAAAAAAAAAAAAAAAAAAAAAAAAAAACTACCCGACCTTCGTAATCACAACTTCATATTAGAAATACCAAAAATTGAACTAAGTAGTAATAAATTTCAAAACTCATTCAAAATTGGAAATTTATTCATTTCGCTCTTAGCTTCTCATACCTCTTCTTCTTCCTCTAAAAAATCTCTCTATAAAAAAAAAAAAAAAAAAAAAAGAAAGAAACTAACCCGACCTCGTAATCACACTTATATAGAAATACAAAAATTGACTAAGTAGTAATAAATCAAAACTCATTCAAATTGAAATTATTCATTTCGCTCTAGCTTCTCATACACTCTTCTTCTTCCTCTAAAATCTCTCTATATAAACCGCCAAACCAAATAAAACTACTTCCATTTATCCATTACCTACCTGTTCGACAAAACTCCTCAATCAACTTCCTAACGTTTCTTTAACACAGCAAACCATGTATGTCATAAAGCGAGACGGGCGTCAAGAACCAGTCCATTTCGACAAGATCACGGCTCGATTGAAGAAGCTAAGTTATGCTTTGAGCCGCGAGTACTGCGATCCTGTGCTTGTAGCTCAGAAAGTTTGCAGTGGAATATATAAGGGCGTAACGACTGCGCAGATTAATGAGTTGGCCGCTGAAACAGCCGCTGCTTTGACTGCTAATCATCCCGATTATGCTTTGGTTAGTCAGTGTATGTAGTTTTGATAAGTTAATTGGAGTAATTATTATGCTTTTGTAGTAATTATTGATGATATGGTGGTGTAGTTGGCTGCAAGAATTGCTATTTCCAATTTGCATAAGAATACAAAGAAGTCATTTTCAGAGACGTGAGTGTTTTCATTTCCTTTGTTTTGATTTATTAGTAGCTTGTTTTGATAAGAATGTGTTTTGGCTTTGGATGTATGATGCAGGATTAAAGTAATGCATGACCATGTTGATAAGAAGTCTGGACAGAAGTCTTCTCTTATTGCAGATGATGTTTATGAAATAATTATGAAGGTAATATCCTATATTGATTTAATTTTTATTGTCTAATATTAATATTCAACTCTTTAAATATAGTCACTGTGGTCCTTACTCGATCAACATCCTTGAATTATTTTTTTTTTGATGAGGTTTGTGCATGAGGAATGATGATTTGCACTGAATTTTTTTGGTTTTTTTTAGGTTTTTTCTTTGATGCTTGAGGAATAGATTTAGTAATTCATATCTTCTTTGCTATCAGAATGCTAACCGCATGGACAGTGAGATCATCTATGACAGAGACTTTGACTATGATTACTTTGGATTCAAGACTCTTGAGAAGTCCTACCTTTTGAAGGTTGATGGGAAGATTGTAGAAAGACCACAACATATGTTGATGAGGGTTGCTGTTGGCATCTACAAAGATGACATTGACTCTGCCTTTGAAACTTACCACTTGATGTCTCAGCGTTGGTTCACGCATGCTACCCCTACCCTTTTTAATGCTGGAACCCCTCAGCCCCAAGTAGGTTTATGTCGTGTCATTATTCTACATATTGTAAGTTTTTATGCTCATCTTCATTTGTTGATGTCGCAGTTGAGTAGCTGTTTTCTTGTGTGCATGAAAGATGATAGCATTGAGGGAATTTTTGATACTTTGAAAGAGTGTGCTGTTATTAGCAAGTTAGCTGGAGGAATTGGCCTTTCTGTCCATAATATTCGTGCTACTGGCAGTTACATTTGTGGGACAAATGGGACTTCCAATGGCATTATTCCAATGCTTCGAGTGTTTAATGACACTGCTCGCTACGTTGATCATGGAGGAGGCAAGAGGAAAGGTATAATAACAATTCTGATATTCCCAATTGTGATGCTTATGACACACATTAGCTCGTGTTGGTATTTTATGTGCAATCATGAACAATCTTGTTTTGTTTAGGTGCTTTTGCCATATATTTGGAGCCATGGCATGCAGATATCTTTGAGTTTCTAGATCTTAAGAAAAACCATGGAAAGGTAATATATAATGGAATTTGGACTATCAAGTGCAACTATTGTTTGCATTAATTATATCTGGGAACATGGATACTTGAGAGTTTTTACTCGAGTCTTTTTTTTTTTTTTGCAAATTTTTTACTTTCTATTTCTTCTAAGATTTTCTTTTATATTCTATTTTCCATTTATTCTCTGTAGGAAGAACGTCGAGCTAGAGATTTATTCTATGCTCTTTGGATTCCTGATCTCTTTATGGAAAGAGTCCGAAGTGATAGCAGCTGGTCTTTATTTTGCCCCAATGAAGCTCCTGGTTTGGCTGATTGTTGGGGTGAAGAATTTGAAAAATTGTACGACAGTTATGAAACTGAGGTACAAAACTGTGATACTTCTTTCAGCCATGGGTAAAGATCAGTCTGTATCAGAGTTAACATTTAGATGATTGTTCTTGTGGATACAGGGCAGGGCAAAGAAGGTTATATCTGCTAGGCAACTCTGGTTTGAGATATTAAATTCCCAAATTGAAACTGGAACTCCTTTTATGCTTTACAAGGTATGTTGACAAACAGTATTTAGATTTCATTGATTCACATCTTTTTGGGTGATTTCTTAAAGAACTTGTCTCTACAGGATTCTTGCAATAGGAAAAGCAACCAGCAAAATCTGGGCACTATAAAATCGTCAAATTTGTGCACTGAGGTTATTGAGTTCACGAGTCCAACAGAAACTGCAGTTTGCAATCTGGCATCTATTGCGCTTCCACGATATGTGAGGGAAAGGGTGAGATTTTGGAAGTTCATCCATTGATTTGTATGTTTACCTTCAATTACTATTTTATTACTGTTCAACAATCTTCACTTGTTCTAGGGGGTTCCCATTGAGTCACACTCATCTAAGCTGGTTGGAAGCAGAGATGCTAAGAACCGATATTTTGATTTTGAGAAACTAGCAAAGGTTGGTTGTCGTTGGAATGTTTAATTGTTCTAGAATAAATCTATTATTTTGATTGGAGTGGCAAGCAGGTAAATTTTATGCGTTTGTATAAATCTTTTATTCAAAAGTTAAAGAAAATATTTGTAGCATTACTTACTTAGTTGGCTGAACATTGCATTTGAAGGTAAAATTATTTCTCTGTCTCTAGAAAATTGAATTGTATCTTTGAGGCTTACACTTATGTGAATTTTATTGCTTTGATAGGTTACCGCAATAATTACTGCAAACCTTAACAAGATTATTGATATTAATTACTATCCTATTGAAACTGCAAGAAGAGCAAATGTACAACACAGGCCAATTGGTATTGGAGTTCAGGGTCTTGCTGATACTTTTATCCTGCTTGGAATGCCATTTGATTCACCAGAGGTATTAACTTGCATCTGTTGGATATGATTTGGCTTTGATGTGTTGGTTTAGCTAGACTGGATTCTGTTCTTGTTCCTTACAGGCCCAACGGCTAAATAGAGACATATTTGAGACCATATACTATCATGCACTACAATCCTCGTCTGAGTTGGCTGCAAAAGATGGCCCTTATGAGACATATAATGGGAGCCCTATAAGCAAGGTATGGATTTTGAATCTTTTTGATGTCATGAAATTATTCTACAGGGACATGCCGAAGATGGAATGCCATGATATCATATTGTTGCTAAGCTTAGACACCTGCTATTATATGTTTGTGGCATGTATTTGAGACATAAATCTGACCAATATCCCTCAGAAAACTATTTGGGCCATGAGGTTGAGTTTAAGCTTTGGTTCATGTTCCAATTATATTTATAAGGGTACAACAATTATCTAGCAATAACCTTCATGTGATTCGTGTAGTGCACATGTTTTAGTCAAAATCTTATACACTGAGGAACTGTACATGATGTGGCTTTTTCCAATTTTTGTTCTCTTGTCATATTCTATTTGATGGATATATGTGCTTGTGAGGAGGAAGCGAGAAAAAAAATGCATGTGAGATCTTTAGCGGTCCTTCTTTTCCTCTAGGGAATTCTTCAGATGGACATGTGGAGTGTATTGCCATCCGATAGATGGGATTGGGATGTTCTTAGGGAAATGATATTGAAGAACGGAGTACGAAATTCCCTTCTTGTAGCACCTATGCCCACTGCTTCAACAAGCCAGATTCTTGGCAACAATGAGTGCTTTGAGCCTTATACATCCAATATCTACAGCCGCAGAGTTTTGAGGTTGGCTTTTTTTTTTAAGTTGGTTCCTTTAAGTTATGTTTCTGCAGTCATCTAACTATAAATATTTTCAGTGGTGAATTTGTTGTTGTAAACAAACACCTCCTTCATGATCTAACGGAGATTGGTCTTTGGTCACATTCTCTAAAAAACAAGATAATTTATGAGAATGGCTCTGTTGCAAAAATTCCTGAGATTCCTGAGCAGCTGAAAGCTATCTATAAGTATGTCTTTTCCCTATTTCATATTTCAATACTACTTTATGATTTCTTCTTATCATCCTAAGGCATCAATATTACATAATGTTAGGACGGTCTGGGAAATCAAGCAAAAGACATTGGTTGATATGGCTGTTGAACGGGGTTGTTACATAGACCAGAGTCAGAGTCTGAATATTCACATGGAGCAACCTGATCTTGGGAAACTAACTTCATTGCATTTTTATGCTTGGTCTAAGGTATTTAATTTATATATAATGGCCTGAATTATCAAATTCATTTTATATTCATTACATTACATAGTTCTGACCAGATCCTGACTTTTGTGTTGCTAATAAAGGTATTGATGCTATTTTTACCATGTTACTGTAAAATTTAGGGCATTGGATGACTGGCGTAGTAGTTACATAAGTAGATAATGCATTCTTTAATTAAAAAATGAATTTTATCAGCCGCATGATTATTTGTGGTGGGTATATCTCCATCTTTGTATTAGCATGCATTAGCTTGATCATAATCCTTCATTTTGCTGCAGACTGATAGATTAGATATTTGTTTTCTATTTGTTTCTCTTACATTTTTTATGTTATAGTATATATAAATATATATATATCTTTTTATGTGTTAATGATTGGTGCAGGGCCTGAAAACAGGGATGTACTATCTGAGAACACGTGCTGCGGCTGATGCAATCAAGTTCACAGTTGATACATCTGTTCTCAACAATGTAATGAAATTTCTTTTCATTAACATGTTGATCCTTTTTTGTGTATTCCATAAATCCTCATCCATTTTTATTTTGTAGTTTGGAAGGCATAAATCCATTTTGAGAATAGAGCTATCTTACAGAAATATGATAATTGCAATAAAAGTTCAATAGTAATTCTTCCCAATAATGGCTTTATTATGTATTTTTTTCTTTTGAAACAACGAATATGTAGTTCCAACTGAAATATCTTCTCCAGAAGAGAACATACCTTGTTATGTTTTATTTTACCATGTATCTGCAAGTCATGCTTTCAGTTAGTTCTCTTATTTGTGGTAAATTTTGACATATTTTGTGGTGAAACAGGAAAATGATAATAAGACAAACAATGATGTCAATACTGATATGGCACAAATGGTATGCTCACTGGATAATCAAGAAGAATGCATGGCTTGTGGCAGTTGAAATTCAGAAGTTTGGTCATATTATGGTATCAACCAAATTTTGTATTAAAGGACTTTGAAGCTTGAACCATCTAAAGTAATATACTGTAAGTGTACACGATCCATCCTCTTTAGGAGTGCGTATAGCTGTTTTAGTCTAAGTGTTAATCGATCATGTAAACCAGGGAGTTCCAAATGGCTAGTAACATTTTGTGCCAAAGTACACGGCTAGCAATAGAGAGTTCTGAATCAGAGAACTAACAAAAATGTTTGTAGACAGCATGTACTTATTTATTAATTTCTAATATCAAGTAACATCAACCAGTTTTTGCTGTCTTCTTTTGCATCAGTCTACTGTTAAATATCCTATTGTCTGGTACAATTTTCCACCGTGTCTCTTGACAGCGTAAGATTTTGGGATGAAAGGTTAGTTAACATGGTGGTGTTATGCATAAATTTGGTTCAACACCTCTTCTGGCTAAAAATCTTTATCAGCTCATTTTCGGATCCAGCTTTGGAGTTCTAATAATCTGATTGTTTTGCACTTTTGCTTAGACATGTCAGTGGGCCTAGCATGTGAAGAAGGATGTTGAGAATCTTGTGCTTGATATCCACTGTTACGTGTTTCCTAATAGCAATTACGTGTATCATATGAGAAGGGCTGAATTTGTAACGTACTACAAATTACCTGTCAATTCTTTTTTCCTCTATCTTGAGCAGTTCTTTCTGCGTTTTACTGCCCATGAACTGAGCTGCAGGTTAATAGCCAGTGTTAGGAGTTTTTACGAATGAAATTGTGTATCATCTCATTTTCCATTCAGAAGTCATTTTACTAGTATTTAATGACTGTCAATTTTGACAAAATCACTCACTGAACATGAAGTTCAAATCTTCGTACTCAAAACAGTTTTTTGTGTCATTAGAGATTATTTTCATAGATTATCTTTTTCAAGTCCTAGATTAAGGCAAAAGCATTAAACTTTATTTATTGTTTTCCTTATTATCTTTTATTCTGTTGTGGGGAAAAGGTATATATGGCTATCATTTGAAAGTTCATGACTAAGAACAGTTTCAAATTGGTCTGATCAGTCTTCAGGCAACTTGTATATTGTATTTTCCTAGTTTGGCATTTTCTAGGTAGAGTGCTCATATTCAATTCATTATTGTACGGAAGCACGTTTCGATTTTTCTAATGATTGGATGTTGCTATTATATCTACCGGATGAGAATGTGGGGACTGGCTTTGATGATGATAGCTGAGAAGACAATGTACAGAATATGCGGCGCTATTTGCATTCTAACCAATAGCAAATTCATAACCATTTTCTGATAAAATATCTTCTGTAGGGCCATTCTCTCTTTTGTCAAAAATGATGGATGATGATATGAGGATCATATGGAGAGATTTGATCTATGACAACTAGGAAATAATGCTCTATAGATCTATTTATATAGTTGCTTTGTGATGGTTGTAGAATCTTCATTTGCGTAGTGACAAATTCAAATTTACATCACTTATGTTGTAGGTGACAAAAATTTGATTTCTGCAATCTTTTGAAGCAGGCATTTTTACTACCTGGAAGAGCTCTATGCATTAATTTGAAAGATTAATTTTCAAGCTACTAGATTTTTGAAACCAAATTCTGTGTGAATGCACTTTTTTTTTTGTTGGATATGCTTTGTTTGTTGTTTTTGTCCTTGATTACCATAGTGGATGAAATTCTAATGCAATCTCGTATAAGATAATGCTAGTTGCTTAAAGATATGGCTTTTTTCACATGCTAAAGCAACAGGTAGGATTTGCAGATATCAGCAACTGGAGATTGATTATAATCTTATATTTACCTTATCTGTCACAATCAGGCTGGAATACTGCTGGGGCCAATAGATAAGGTACCTATCTTTGACCTGAAAAAACCCGTTACATAGTTTTGATTCATAACTTTCCAAGTAATATTCTTTGCTTCAAAGCTTTATCTTTAATGCTTTTTTTTGTCATTTCTTTTCTTATTTCGAGCAATTAGGTATCTTTGATTTTTTGAAAAGTCTCCCTTTGTATGCTTCTAGTTCTCATTCTACATATACTTTTCTAAGTTATAACTTAATTACCCTTTTTTTTTTCTTTTTTTTTTCTGCTAACAATTTGCGCTCTAAAATCTTCAAAAGGGCATAATTCTTTGGTTTAATGTTCACATTACTCTAACTACAACTCCTTTTAAAACTAAAATCAAACTTCACTCTGTTATTTTATGTTAGCCTGACCCATGAATAAGTCTACTGCATACCACATTTCTGAGATTTTTTTTTTTTCAACTATTCCAAGGAAAGATTAGTATTTCTCCCTTATTATGTGGTTGGTCAAATGCACTGCACTTGGACCAAAAATTGCATTGCACTTGACCTCAAATGGAGAAATTATTTGTGGCCAGAAATTGCTTAAATTTTGTTTCTTCCGCTGAAAGCATGCTGACTGAGTCATCATATTGGTACTATTTGGACTGATGGATGATTTCTGCAACTAAATTGGAATTATTATGATGCATGTGGAATTTATCAAGTATAAATTGCATAATCCAAAACAGTGTTTTATATTCATTTAGATCATTATAATAAAATTTATGTGTTCAATTCTAAGGTTGAAAATGAATTCCTCTCTGTTCTGTTCACTTATTTTATAAATTTGCATTGCAAATTGACACATTTTCTTGTCAATTTCCGAAGAGCCATTGTCGAATAATTTATTACGATTAGTAAACCGTAGCTGGAATTCCCCAATTCCTCTCTTTTCTTTCATTATATAAATTTGCATTTGCAAAATTTGGACACATTTTCTTTGTCAATTCCGAAAGAGCCATTGTTCGAATTAATTTATACGGATTAGTAAACGCGTAGCTGGAATTCCCCCCCCCCCCCCCCCCCCCCCCCATTTACCCCCCCCCCCCCCCCATTCTATAGATGAAATAAATTTTATAAGTTACTCTTAATTCTTAATTCCCTTCTTTTGGTCTTGATTCTTAGGTTGTACTTTAACTTGCTAGGACTGTTATCACTTTCAACATTTTTGTTTCATTCTTTGGGTGGGTACATTTTGGTCTCTTACTAATTAATTTCATGGGTCAGCTCAATTCGTACATTTCTGAATAGTCATAAGCGAGACTTATGGGTTCAAAATTAGAATAATAACACAATTTGAAGATCCGTAGCTCTGAAACTAAATTTACCAGTCTTAACGATGCGTTAATTTAAAGATATACCATTTAAATATCTACAATCTAAATAAATAAAAACAATGAAGAGAAATGATTTTGTTTAATTATATAATACTTCCATGAGATGTGATTATTGATATTGATTGATAGCAAATGAGCATAAAATCCACTAGCCTTTTTTAATAAAATAATAAATAAATCTAGCTTAATTTCACATCATAAAAAAAATATTATTTCTTGCGAGCATGAAGTAGTTTAGATATGTAACGAAATTTTACTTTTGTCACATTGAATGCAAGTTGTGGTACTAAAGTGATTCGTTGTATAATTAATTAATTATTCTGTAATTTATTTACATTATAAGCCGCAATAAAAATTTAAAATTGCGCTCATCAGTCACTTCGACTACCTTATTGCAAATAATTGAGTTAGATGAACTGCTTTGGAAGTGGGTTCGTAGTTTTCAAGCACGCATAATCACTTTTATGGAGTTAAATCCCTCGTTCTACTCACTAAGCCAAGCCGCACTTGTAGACCCAATTTATTTGGAACCAGTTTATTGTAATTTTATCAATTGAACTCACAGAGTTTTCTGGCTTTTTTTATTTTAATAATACTCTATCCGAATATAAGGATGTATTGAATTAGGATTGTGTTAGATTTTAAAAGAATTATTGAGTTTGACGGAATTGAAGGATTTCTACAAATTTCTATAGATTTATTGAGTTTGACGGAATTGAAGGATTTCTACAAATTTCTATAGATTTCATTAGAATTCTACATAGAGTTTTATGGAATTGGTGAGACTTTTTTTATAGATTTTGATTGACTATGATAGAATCCCAATGATTTTTATATATCTAATCAAAATTAATTTGAGGATATAATTGGATAAATTAAAAGGTTTTAGAGCCAAATGAAAAATTAAAAAACAATGAGGGACTAAAAAGAAAATTGTGTCATCTTCTCTAAAATCATTATTTTCTTCGTTAAAACTTATCGCCACTGACAGTGAAAGGCCTATAATGGCCAGCATCGTCGGCCGTCATTCTGCTCCTGTTAATCACTATATTAAACGGGTTTGGTAATTGGTATCCTATCCATAATTAGTAAAAAATGTATTTTAAATAAGTTCAAAATTTGGATAGTTAAAGATTCGTGGGTACATTATCCGTTTAAGAGGTACTTAAATAGGTATTTAAACGAATTTAGAACGGATACAGATAATAAATTTTAAATGAATATATACAGGTAATTTAAAATTCGGGGATACATGCTTTGCTTTCATTCTATTAAAGAGTGTATTAGATCAAGAGTCTGTTAGATTTTAAAATATTTTTGAAATCTTTGAGTTAAAGGATGCGTTTATGAATGACTCTTTTATTTATACATAACACTCTAAAATCTAACGAAATCAATAATTTTATAAAAATCTTTCAAATCAATAATTTTTTGAATATCATCAAATTTGTATGGACTTTTAAAAAATCATAATTCAATACCAATAGATTTTTGTGGATTGTATAAAAGTCTGAATTGAATATCATAAAATTTTAATAGACTTAAAAGAATCTAAATTGAATACCATTAAAAATCTAACAGACTCTTAATTCAATATATTCCTCTAAATATAAATCGTTTAAAGTCGTTTAAAGTTGTTGCATGATAATTAAAAAAAAAAATAATTCTCTTAAATTATACTCCATTTTTTCCTGAATATCTATTCTTTTTTACTATGGCATATGGCTTAGGAAAGTTAATACTTTAAATTTTATAGAAGTAGATAACAAAAGTTCTATAACACCCTTGAAGGCTTAATTATTTTCATTCAATTTTCTCCAATGTTGTTTAGTTTTCCCCCAATTTTCATCAATGTCTAATTTGTTAAAATTTATCGGAAACAAATAACACTTATTTAGGGCGGTATTATACTTACTATAGACAATAGGTTTAATAAGGGTATATTAAAAAGAAAAATTAAATGTCGTATTAAAATGATAAAATAACAAATGTTTTGGAACTAATGAAAACCAAAAACGGACAGATATTCAAAAACAAATGGAGTAACAAAATATTCATTAATTTAACTAAATTACCCTTCAAAAATTGTAGAAATAATTATTTCTTTTAATATAAA